CGCGTAGATCTCGAGGTTCTCGAGGCCATCCGACTGTTCAGTCTCCCGAGGGGGCTGCTCCTGTTGCCGCTTCACATGGGGGTATATCTCTTTCATCCTTTTGCAATTTTAAACACTGTATTTCTTCAATTTTATGCGTCAATACCTGTGTTTGTATGCAGATCCTCGTTTGTATCCTTTGAGATACCCTCGAGAAGAGCCGGTATCCTCCTTTGAGGGGATCGACGCTTAAAAGTGTTTGTTTTGCTTGGACAAAACACACTTCATAATACACAGGGGCGATTTCATATCATCCCACATGTATTGAAAGATTCTGGTATGCCGTTATAATGCCCGTGCATAGTAACGCATATCTCCTTTATACATATGGTAGATGGAAAATCGTCACACCTGTTATGAGATAGCGACTATATCTTATGAAGTAAGATATATCGTTTTCTCTAAAATTTTAGGACTATACTTACACAGCTTATGTGTATCTTCTGTATCAGTCCATTTTCCTTCCACGATCTTCACCGTCGATGCAGTTACGGGCCAGAGTAGTGTCACTCATTCTTATTATGAGGGGCTACCGTTAATCGAGTCTGCTCCTCAGTTCAAGTCAGATTACAGCGAAGGGGCCCGAGAGTTGATTCAACGAGGTAGTTGCCGTATTCTGCGACGGTTAATCACGGACGCAACCTTAATTTTAGAGCAGGACTCAAACCAATGTATAAGGAAACCAGACTTCTTGTTTGGTGACTCCATAAAGGATCCGGCGATTGCTTTCTGCAAGCCTGCGCAGTGGTTACACGAGGATGGTTCGTCATTCCTGTACTTGCCTTTTATCCCTCGAGAGCATTCACTGTTAAAGTTCAGGAACTTATCGGTTGGACGTGAAATGTTCTGGAGGTTAACCGAAAACCACGAACGTATTCATTGTGGTTTCATCGGGAAAGAGGTTACTCCAGGTTCCAGTGAAAGAGCTTCTATACGAGGGCTTCATCCGGGTGTCTTAGGCCAAGATAATATACCTCAGAATGAAAAGACAGCGCAGGCCAACACTGTGAAGAATCGTTTGGCTGCAATGAAGAAGAAATTACCCCACGAGAGTTTCAGATGTTATGGATGGGTCCATTATTCTGGGGATAAATGGTGGTGGACCAGAATGACTCGATATGTGTTGAACCGTTGGGGGCGAGAGTTGGCAGAACTAGGGTTGGAAGTCCCGATCCGTGCCAGCATGCATGGTCTGCAAATTAGTGTAGGTCATTTCCTCCGTTTGTTCGAGATCTACAATCCTGACACTAATACGTTCTTCACCAAGAACGGGGAGCTCGGGTTACCATTGCACGAAATGATGAATGTGTCTGGCTTGCCCATAGGCGATGTTCCATATCAAGAGTTCTTCCCAACCACCAGTCAGCTTAATAAGATGAAGGATCGGTCATCTGTGACCCACGAGACTTTATGGGAGCTGACTTGTCATTATCATATAGCTATGGCTGAAATGGAAACCAAAAGGAAGAAATCTCCCCAGATCAGCTTAAAGCAATTCGCCGATTATCTGTTCAAGAACCTGGAGGATCGATCAGAAGAGGTACGTGGATTATCTCCTTTGAGCCCGGGTGACATCAATCGGCTGTTGGAGAAAACAAACGCACAATCTTACACTTCTCATTCAGAAGATGGGTTTTCGCACGGAACTAAATTCCGCCCTTATCTGTGGCAAGCTAGTGCTCCGATTCGCCCCACTACTCTGCTGGCTGGCTTTCTGGCTATATGGTTGAAGAGATGTGTAGTTCCCCACCAGTCATCCGACGCTATGCCAATGGAAGTATTGTATCCAGCCGTCCAGTTAGCCACAGGTCGCAGATTATCCTTGCTTCCTGCTATGGTGGCGGCTATTCACAGTGGGTTACGGCAGTTAGTTTCCGCATTCACGCAAGAGAAAAAGAAACCCTCTGCCAGTATATCTGTTCCGAAACTAGAATTACCCTACACTTATTTGATGACATGGTTGGTTCTGCACCGGCCAGATTTAATGGAAGCTCCTGAGACGGTGGATCCTAGTCTTCCTCTTTTACAGATCCTTGAGGGTTGCAAATGGATCAAACATCGATGGCCGGACATCACAAGGCAGTTTAAAATTCACAAGTGTTGGGAATTCTTCCCTTGCTTCCCTCGGTTCTCAGGTACTTACAACACAACTTTACTGGATGCTGAAGACCCGAGGCAGAACCGTACCATTCTAGATGTCGGATGCTTCATATGGCTGATGAATATCCGACCTGGATATCTGTTGTTCAGGGTAAGGGACGTTTGCCACATTGAGCCCTATCTTCCATGTCGATTTGCCCGTCAATTCGGCTATGACCAAATTTATATCGGCAACCCGAATCGTCACCTTAGCTTTCGAGGTGGACTTATTGACGGGGCGAGAGCTTGGTTTTGGAGTATTGCCGGCTGCACAAATGTTAAATTCGATCTCCCTTTAGAGCGCCTCTACGGATGACCTTCCTCTTTTGTAAGTGGTTGGTTGCCGCTAATATCGTCACTCGACGTGGGAGAGTATCGGACTCGGAGGAAGAGGCAGCTCCGCGGCCAGCGACAGAGGCGACTCGTGAGGAGACTATGGTGTCGACTCGAGGAAAAGAAGCTGCTGAATCCTCGAGAAAAGGAAAGGAACCGGTTCTTCCAACGGATAGTGAAGAAGAGTTTGATAGTGAAGCGACCGAAACTTCTGAAGGGGCGGACGAGACTGATTCAAGTTCTGAGGAAGCAGCAGGTCTCCCCGACTCTTTCTTCGAGAGAGGACTTGTAAGACCTTCTGTCGCTCCGGCCCAACCACAAGCTGCTCCGAAAAAACGGAGAGAGAGAGTCGTCATGACCTATCCTAATCGGATGACGGTAGACGTTCTCAGTGGAGACGAAGAGGATGAAGAGGATACAGTGCCTCTTGCTCATAGGCAAAGATCTCAATCTTCCGCTCAAGCTCAGACTCAAGCTTCCCCCAGAGTTGAACTGCGCACTAAATATCGCCATGAAGGTTCTGAAGCACGTCCACTGAAGAGACAGAAGAAAGTTGTCTCTAAGCCACGCGTTCATCTTCCTGCTCTAGAAGAGACGTCTGATCGTAGTGCTTCTTCTGATGAACAAGGTAACTATTTTTCTTTATTGCTTTCACACTTCTTAACGTTCAAATTTATTTCATGCTCAACTTCTGTAGGGAATCAAGAAGAAGGAGAATTTCCAGCTGATGCTGTTTCTCCCGGAGGTATGGAGACTGAGGAGACCAGCTTCGTACAGCAAATGCAAGATGCTCTGAAAGAAGGACCAGCTGATGTTCCACCAACTCCGGACATCGATCCATCGGCTGCAGATACAGGTACTGATCTTTCTTCCCTTGGAAGAGAAATCCGAGAAATGAATGAGTCAGACCATGTGCCTCCTTTAATGACTTGTGCGCTTGGTCTCCTTTTAGTTAAACTAAAAGAAGCAGGTACAAGTGGTGGAGCTCTCGAATCCGTCCCGACCAACGAAGGTAAAATTAATCTTTGTCTTGAGCAAATTCGTTTAAATTTACGTGTCCTTTACGATTCAACACGTTTTGTAGATGCCATGATGCACGAATCAACTGAAGGAGAAACTATCCATGCTACTAAAGTCGACGATTTTAATGATTTCGACTTTAATCTTGATATCTCAGAGGACGACCACCAGCAAATCCTTGATTCTCTATCGAGGAAAATTCCTGATACTGCTACAGGATCAGATGTTGGAATTGGTTCAACAGAAGCAGGTCCTTCTGAGAGTAAGGCCTTAATTCCGTAAACTTCATATATACATACATATATATTTTAACTTGATTAATCATATAATTGTTCGAATTATAGGACCAATTGCTGGAACTGATACTACTATAATCATTGGAACGTTTGATCAATCGGAGGGTCGTGATCTCATGCCATGGGCAGGAACCGAGGTTGATTTGCAATTGTCAATTCTTGAACCTCAACCTTCTACTCCTATAGACCCCATGATGATAGAAGTCACCGTCACTCCCCAAATTAGCCCAGTTGCAACAAAAGCGAGACCAACTGAAGAAGTTGGTACATCAGCCGATGTGGTGTCCAGAGCTGGTAAGTTTTACCCATAACTTGTTTCAAATCTCGGATTATCATTTCATTATGCTTATCGTAATCCATTTGTTTGTAGAATCCCCTCCTAAGGAGCCTCTTAGCTTGGACCCGAAGTTCTCTGAAGTTGAGATTAAAAAGCCTTCTGACGTAGCGGGTACATCAACGGCCACTATTCTTGAACCAACTTTGGTTGTTCAGGAAGCCGGATTACCACCCTTGGGTGAACCAAGTCATACTGAGGGCTCTTCCGTCGAACTTGGTATGCTTCCGCTTGTTGTCTTGTATGCATACATATGTTCTGTACTGACCTATTTGCCCTCATTGTAGTTCCCTCATCATTATCAAATCAGATCCAAGCTCTGTTGGTCGACGGCGATCCGGATAAGGCTGTCCTCTGTTCTAATCTCCAAGGCTTCATCCCCTTTTTGAATTCTATGGTGAATCGTATTCTCTTCAAAGGATCATATTTTGAGAATTATAAAAAAAATCTCTTGAGCGTTTTATATCAGGATTCAGAGAGGAAGGGTATAATGAGTTAGCCGATTCAATGAGCGTTTTATATCAGGATTCAGAGAGGAAGGGTATAATGAGTTAGCCGATTCAATCAACGCTTATTTAGTTGATTTGAAGCGACATGTTGAACTTCTACAAGCTCTTCGTACCAACGGCATACCCTCCTATATCGCTTCCCGTATGGAATCCGAATTGCAAGCGTGGCGTGATTCCTAAAAATCAGCTAACCTCGAACTTCAAAAGCTAAGAGTCCGAAGTAATCAACTTAGGGTGAGTGTTGGCAAAAGAACACAAGCCAAGGTTAACCTACGCCGGGATTTAGAATCGAGTCGAGCGGAAATAGCTCGCTTAGAGGAGGAACTTGCAATGGCCAAGGATGCTCATGAGGTCTTGGAGTCCGAGTTGATGCAGGAAATTCAGGTTGAAGAAAACCTGTTACAGCAGTTGAACCTTCAAGATAAAATACTTGCTGAAAAAGAACAAGAGGTCGACGCGCTTCACAGTGTTGACGAAGAAGCCTTCAAAATTAAATTGGCGGCTGAGCTTGAACAGGCTTATGCATTAGAGCTTTCAAAACTTGAAAATCAGATTAGTCAATATAAACTTTTGTAATTGGAGAACATATATTTTTTGTAGTTTTGTTTGAACACTTTTGGTCAATATATTGAATCCTTTTCTCATTGAGGTTTTATTATGATTACTCATTCTTGTTTTAGAATAAATAACCATAATACTTATAGGATTTTTAGCAAATCCTCAGCCATCAACGGATTTGATATGCCTTTACCGACTACCTCGGGCTAGTATGTGAATTATCTAGGTCCGTTTCACATATAACGTTGTGCTAAAAGAATTAAACTCTTTTAGACTTTAAACTACAATGTTGAATATGTAGGCTACATGTGTTAGATGTAGGCTTATCTCTAATAAGGGATAGAGATAACATCCCCCATGTATGAACGACATGGATTTTAAAGTGTGAGTAGGTTGCGTTTCCTATATAGGACAACGAACCCGAAATCGGAGAGGAAGAATTTTATATTCTATTTCCTGGTCTCTTGTTTGTTGGTAGAGATAAACCCAAAATCGAAGAGGAAGAATTTTATATTCTATCTCCTGGTCTCTTGTTTGTTGGTAGAGATAAACCCAGAATTGGAGAGGAAGAATTTTATATTCTATCTCCTGGTCTCTTGTTTGTTGGTAGAGATAAACCCAGAATTAGAGAGGAAGAATTTTATATTCTATCTCCTGGTCTCTTGTTTGTTGGTAGAGATAAACCCAGAATCGGAGAGGAAGAATTTTATATTCTATCTCCTGGTGAAAAGGAAACTTAAAGTGGAATCTCCACTTAGAGAATCTAGATTGGTTTGAATAATCCTAACTGTCATAAGGTTTGATTACTCAATTCAAAAGTGGACCTTTCGTTCGCAAAAATGAATCGAAAGGAGATTTTGGCTGTGGTCCTAACTGTAGTAAGGTTTGACCAAGTGAGTGTTTTGAGACGATTCTAACCATAGGAAGGTTTGATCGTTCCATTTGTGGGCCTCTCGTTCATTGAAGGAGTCGAGAGGGGATTTTGGTTGTGGTCTTAACTATTTAAAGGTTTTGACTCATTGAGGAATTGGAGTAGGGTGTAAATAACAATGAGTTCGTTGATTTGCACAAACTACTCGGTGGGAAGTTTTGATTTCAAACATAAGAATTTGACACAAAATAATTTGTTGACTGATACGGACTGATGACTATTGGTTGATCCGATCAGTGAGGGTTTCATGGTGTGAGATTACAAATTATCGAATCCCCTCTTCCATGATTACATTACAAGGTTTTGCTGAGGGAAGATTAACTGTCATTAAATCTCATCTCAACAAAAGTAATATGAGGATCTTAATTATTTTTATAACAATTAAGAATAGATTATTCACATGATCAGTCTTCATTTAGAATAATCAACTGATATCGGGTTATCCTGAAATATCCCATATAGGATTTTCTAGAAACTTCCCGTTTTACGTAAGTTATCCTGAAAGCATTACGGATAATACTTTTTCAGGAACTTTCCATTGATTGGCATCATCAATTTGTTGCCATCCTGAGTAATCAGGCGATAAGCACCGTTTGAATAGACTGTCTCTATCACGAACGGTCCTTGCCATTTAGGTTCAAATTTGCCTTTCTTCTTAGAAGTGAGAATCATAGGTCTTCGGACGGTGAGGACCAAATCTCCTTCTTTAAAACTTCGTTGTCGGACCTTTTTGTCAAAAGCCCGGGAAATTCTAGCTTGATAAAACTCGATCTGTTGTTGAGCTTCCAAGCGTTTCTCATCTAACATCTCTAATTCCTCGAGACGTTTTTGATGATGTTCTTCCGTCGTCATACCCGTTGTGAGAGCGATACGGAGGGAAGGAATCTGTATTTCTAATGGGGACAGCTTCACACACCCATATGTTAAGGCATACGGGGTGGTTCCGGTTGGCGTACGGACGGTGGTACGATAAGCCCATAGGGCTTCACCGAGTTTATCATCCCAATCTCGTTTATTGGTTTTTACCAATTTTGCCAGAATTTTGATGATAGTCTTGTTAAAAGCTTCGGCCAATCCGTTAGCTGTAGGATTATAAGCAGTCGATGAAATGTCTTTAATCCTGAATTTACTGCAGAACTTGATAAATGCGTTGCTGACGAATTGAGGTCCATTATCGTGCACTATTCACCTCGGAACACCGTATCGATATATGATATGGTGTTTGATAAATTTGATCACATATAATTTGCATGTAATTGACACGCTTGACATCGTCGGGCGTAGTCAACCGCATCCTTTACCATAGTCGGCTAATAATATCCAATTCTCCTAAGTCGGTCACAGAGTTTCGGACCAGGTTGATGTGCATCGCACGTCCCCTCATGCGCCTCTTTGAGTGCTTGTTCTGCTTCTTTGCCGGATAGACAACGGAGTAAAAGACCATCGTATGATCGTCGATACAACGTTTGCGCTGTGGCGTTGTAGTAAAATCTCGGCGCTCTTCGCCGAATCGATTCCCTTTCTTTTACATCTTCAGGCAGTATACCATGTAGGACGTAGTCGATAATGGGAAAATGCCAATCTCGAACTTCGGGTTCGACTCCTGTCGAGTATGCTTCTTTAGCATTTGAATCATAGATTGGAACAATAAGCTGGTGAGTCCTCACTATAATCAATTGTTCTGTCTCGGGAGGCTGAGCCAAGGATACCGACAACGCCGCCAATGCATCTGCATACGCGTTTTGGAGACGTGGAACGTATTCGATGAAAAATTCTTCAAACGAGCTTGCCATTTCGATGGCCACCTGGTGGTATGGAATCAGGTCATGATTTCTGACTTCATACTCTCCTCGAATCTGATTAACTACCAGTTGAGAATCTCCAAAAGCTTCAAGGTATTCGACCCCCAGCTCTTTGGCAAAATTAAGTCCAATTATCAGTGCATTATACTCGGCTACGTTATTAGAGCATGGTTCGGTCAACGAGTATGCTCTAGGTAAGACATGCTTTCCCGGGGAAACTAAAATGACACCCACTCCTGAGGAGATTTTAGAACATCCGGGTGCGCTCGCCACGTTGGTTGCTCGGGAAGCCCCGTCGAAGTATAATTGCCACACTTGTTGATGTGAGGTGGTATTAACTTCGTGAGTTTCGTCCGGCAGGTCGTCGTACAACTCAACTACATCTTTTGTAGGATTTTCCGCTAAAAGATCGCAAATAGCTCTTCCTTTAACTGATTTTTGTTGCTTGAAGTACAAGTCATATTGCGATAAGAGTAAAGACCATCTGGCTAAACACTAATTCATGGAGGCCGGTTGGGTCATGAATACTCGGATTGGGTTTATGTTAGAGATGACATAAATTGTCTGTCCAACTAAATAATGTCGCATTTTCTGAATCGCGAATACTAGTGCGAGGCATTCTTTCTCGATCATTGGATAACGAGATTCAGCTCCAACCAGTGTACGACTAAGATAATACACAGCTTGTTCGTGACCGCTATCGTCGTCTTGTGCGAGTAATGCACTTAACGAATGGCTCGTCGCTTTGACATAAATCAAAAACGGTCTGCCTGATTTCGGTGCAACGAGAATAGGTGGATTCGCCAGATATTTCTTAATATCTTCGAATGCCTTTTGGCATGCTTCATCCCAAACGAATGACACACCTTTCTTTGTGAGTTTAGAGAACGGTTGACATTTTCCAGACAGATTTGATATAAACCGACGGATATATGCCAATCGACCTTGCAACCCCCTGAGTTCTTTAAGATTCCTCGGTGGTTGTAATTCATGTATCGCCTTCACTTTATCAAGATCAATATGAATCCCTTTTGTGGTAACGACGAATCCTAGAAATTTACCGCTCGACATTCCAAGGAAGGATTTAGTCGGGTTCATTTTTAGCTGATGAGTTCTCATAAGCTCGAACATTGTCTTCAGATCGTTAATATGGTCGTTTTTATCACGACTCTTAACGACCAGGTCATCAACGTAACATTCGACGGTTTTTCGGAGGTGCTCTTGAAAGATCTTCGTCATTGCTCGTTGGTATGTAGCACCGGCATTCTTCAAACCGAATGGCATAACAGTATAACAAAAGACACCTAGGGGTGTTCTGAACGCTGTATGTTTTTCATCATCCGGGTGCATCTTGATTTGATTATACCCAGAAAATCCATCCATGAATGACATTCTTTCAAACCCGCATGTGTTGTCAATGATGACGTCCGTAATCGGTAGAGGAAAGTCATCTTTGGGGCAGGCCGTATTCAGATCTCTAAAGTCAATACAGATTCTGATTTTTCCGTTCTTTTTAAGAACTGGAACGATATTGGCCAACCATTCAGGATGTTGTTCTTCTCTGACAAAACCCGAATCAATTAATTTCTTGACTTCAGCTTCTATTGCCTCCATAATCTGCGGACGAAACCGTCTTTGTTGTTGTTTGACAGGTTTTGCATCCGGTTTAATGTTAAGGCTATGCATTGCTACATCTGGGTTGAGTCCCGGCATATCTTCGTAGTTCCAAGCGAAAACATCGATATACTCTTTAACGAGGGCGATTAGCTCCTCTTTCTCATCTGGTGGAAGATCACCGCTAATAAATATAGGCTTCGGATTATTTTCGTCACCCATGTTAACTTGGACTACTTTATCCTCTGTAGGAGGTTCTCTTTGCTCAAATCGATCACCGTATTGGATATTCATGTAATGTATCCAAGGATCTTCCCAAGTGGGCAACTGATCGTCTTCTTCAATTGTGGAACTTTCTCTAATGCTCACATCAGAATCCCAAGTTGAAGCATCGGATGAATGCCCACTCTTATTTATTAGTTGGCTAATAATCTGTTGGCCATATTCGTCATCAGATGATGAAGTATAACCTAAACCCTTTTTATGACTGTAGTAATTATCAGGTCTCCCTTTTGGTACATAGGCAGGACGGGGTGGAACCCTAACACCTTGACCAAAATGAAGACCTTCACCGAGCGAGAGGTTATAGCTTTAGTTCGTCATATAATCATTCACTTGTGAACTGTACCGAGAGAAATGTCGCCCGGGTTC